GTTAAAAAGGACTTTTGTTTTGGTTTTCCCCTCAACAAGCAGTGAGCTGCAAATCCAGAGGCTGATTTCTAAAGCAGAGCATGGATAATGTTTCAACTAAAGTTATATTCAATCCTAACTGTATGGCAGGTAAAAGAGTTCCTAAATGGGAGCCTTTGTCTCATTGGACAGAGGTCATACTTGACTACACTCTTGCCTCTAGATCTTACATACCTCTAAATATAAAACATGGTGTTGAAAAAGCCTGAGTGGGAACACTTTGACAATAGCTAGCAGCCGATGCTACAAGAGAAACATTTCTGGGGTATGTTCCTCATGTTTTGATCCTGTATAGGGACTCAGAATTGCAGGTAGTGGCTTATTGTGTCAACTCTCACTTTTTTTCTGTGTCACTGTCTGATGTGTTGATCAGTGCCAACCTTGTCTTGAACAGAGCATCAGCATTAATTGAATACATCTCTGGGCCAATGGAAACTAGTAAAAGCTGTTTCTCCTGGCAACTGATGGCAGGATTGGAAACTTAAATTAGGATCCTAGTGCAACTGTTAAATGCTCTTCTACTTCCTCGTCTCTCTTGCAGTACCTTGGGGAGCTGAGTCTAATTGATGCTGATCCTTACCTGAAATACTTGCCTTCAGTTATTGCTGCTGCAGCATTTCATCTAGCAGACTATACAATCACTGGACAAACTTGGGTATGTAGCACTACAACTTGAGCCTTCACGTACCTTTATGCGTGTTTAGTGTATTTGTGCGCAGTTCTGAATGTCGGGGCCTGGGCTGCAGGACCTGCAGCCCCTCCGTACCCCTAGGCTGTTAATTAGGGATTGCTCTCTATGGTATTTGAAAAATGAGGCGGGGGACCTTTTCTTGCAAGGAAGAGGCATCTCTGACACTCTCTGTTCTGGTGATTCCCCCCCCCCCCCAAAGCTGTAAGCAGCTTCCTTATGATGAGGAAGTTAGCAGAAAGCCTAAGCACTGGAGGCAAGGAGTACTTGTTTAAAATGAGAGTTTGCAGGATTACTGTAAATCTATATGAAGGGCTAAAATCTGAGAAGTGAGTATTACACGGCTTTGTGCTTGAGATAACGAGACTCTGCCAACTACCAAGACAACAGAGTCTCAACAGGAAGCTAAAAACTCCACTGGTGGTCATCAGCATCACCAAACAAAAATGCTCCAATGTCCCTTTGTTCCCTCAGCCTGAATCCCTGTGCAAAGTAACAGGCTACACCCTGGAACACATCAAGCCTTGCCTCATGGACCTACACCAAACCTACCTCAAAGCAGCACAGCACACGCAACAGTCCATAAGGGAAAAGTACAAGAGTACAAAGTGAGTATCTGTGGAGATGTATGATCAGCGGTTAGGTTACACCTGGGCTGCTCTAGCACATAATTGCTTAGTGGGGCAAGGGGTGGGGTGTCTCTAGAGAGGAGTCTTCAGTAGACTCAACTAACCAAATCTGACATATAAGCAAAATGGTGACAAGACTCCCAAAATTTTTGCACAATGCTTTGTTGGGCGATATTTTGTGTTCACTACCAGGCCTGCTATCACTGCCTGAACTGTCAGGTAGAAACTGGAGGAATTTTCTTGACATTCCTACAGTCAGTAGGCAGGAGGTGGTACCTAATGCTCCTAAAAACCTGTGTCAGCATGGCAGCTGGAAAGCTCCAAAATGTTTTCCTGCTGACTGTGCCTTGTGAGATATGTGCTTTGCTGCAGTATGTATGCTATTCTTTACAGCAGAGGGCACTTGAGCACGATGACATCCTGAATCTTTTTTTCCCTCTCTAGGTACCATGGAGTATCGCTTATTGACCCACCAGAGACACTAAACTTATTGTAATAATCAAGAGACTGATCTTTTTTAAAAGATGTATATTACAAGAAAATGATGTACAGTTTTAAACATGGTTCAAAATTCTAGATGCGATCACTCAGAATATTAATACAGGTTTTGATGAACTTAATTATGAAGTTAGTTTTATGTGGTTTTAATGTAAATCTTTTGTACATGCAATCTGGTTAAGATATTTAGCTGGTTTTTTATAAAAATGTTCTCTTCAAGCACGGAATTAACCATGCAAACCAAGGGATGTCTGAGACTGCTTATCTGATCATAAACTAAACATTAATGTTAGCAGTCCATTAGTACAGTAAGGCTTTTTCCTCCTTCCAGGAGTGACTTGGACTTGACAGCAGTATTTGTAGCATTTTTACGCTGTCTAGTTTAAACTGAGACTGATCTGACTGAAATGTGGCTTAATGGCTCTACTACTGTAAGAAACTGTAGAGCTGTGAGGAGAAAACCTTGCTGGAACTGACTCCTGTGGGACTTGAGGCTGTGCCGGTTACCGGAAGCCTAGATTGCCATGTGATGTATTGCAGATCTCCTTCAGGTTAAAGGCTGAACGCTCTGCTGCAGGGACTGCAGGGCTAACACTAGTACACACCAGTTCATACTTCCCTCTCCCAGTAGGTAGGAAGTGGTCATGCTCTAGGTATTTTCTAGTCAAGGTGTGAAAGTCTTACTAATTTAAACCCACAGAGCTGCCACGGATGTGTTAGCTGTCCTGAAAGCCCACCAATGCTTACTAAAGAAAGCAGAGTTGTTAATCTGGTTACCTGGCACCTCTCTATGGCAGTGGAGGGTGAACTACAGCCCTGTGCCCTCACAAGGAGGGAATGTCTCCTGGTGTGGAGAGGGGGCTATGTGCAAAATGGCCCCAATTCTGTACATCCCTCTTGCTTGGAAAGGGTTCCTCTGTCAAGCTGACAAGCACCATTACAGTGAGACAATTCACATGTGTCAAAGCAGTAATTAGCAACTTGCTGTTATGCCCCCACCCCTGCTCTGTAGTCTTGAGTCCTCCATGAGCCAACTTAGTTACAAAACCAATCCAGTCAAGTGGTGGTGGCTTATCTAGTCAAAACTATGCAGCAGAAGCTGCCCCTTTGGCCACTCTGAGGTTTTTGGGATGCACTTTGACTTTTATATGTGTTCTAATGTTTAATGAAGAACCATTATTTCCTTGGTCTACCATGTTCTCCCATAGTCTTTATTTAGCTTAATTTCAGTTGCTTGCTACTGAAAAACTAAAACTACTTGAGGAGAAAACCGCACAGTATATCATGTCTGGTGCTTACTATTGGAAATGCCCTCACTTTAGGGGAGAGGGAGTTTCTATGTACAGGAACGTTTGCCACAGATGCAACATCAGTTTGTGACCTTGGAAGGGCAACTCAAAATGCCAACTGGCAACTATCCTTTGAAGACACAGAATTCCTCCCAAGAAACTGGGTTCTGCCTTCCCCTGCTTTTTTGTGGCATATACTGGAAACTTTCAAGACCATTGAGAAATATGAACATTGGGAGAGTCATAACTTTTAAAGGAAGTTAATGAATAATTTCCCCCAGAAAAGATCAAGTAGCAGTACCAATTCAGTGGTTTATAGTATTGATTTACTGCTTCGTACAATGTCTCTTTGCTCTATTTTCAAGGGAAGTTCTGCTGTTCATGTTCCCAGAACACAGATAAAAATTCTCCCTTGGCTCCCTAAGCTTTACTTTCAACATACTGATATGACCTCCTGCATAGCCTAAAAAAATGCTTCAGCCGTGGGCTGGCATCTCTGCCCAGTATAACTATGTTCCTCCTTCCTCACTGACAGCTCTTGCTGCTGCATAAGTAATATCTCTTTCCATCTTCCCATTCTCTGAAGTTAGTATGGGATCATTCTAGTTCTTGCTACCAAGTTTTGAACAAAGTATCCCAGGTTGTACTGTACTACTGTTTTGTCCATCCACTTCTCCTAGTCCGTTCAAAATAAAGTTTCTAAGGAACGTGGGGTATGAGATGTGTGAAGAGAGAAACTGTTTCCTGAAGATGCTTACGGTCTTGTAGTACTGTGGAAGTAAGAACAAACTGAATCTTCACTCATTCTTGCACTGCAGACAGTGACTTTGGGTTGGAAGAAGTGACACTAAGAAAATGCATCGGTTTAGCTCCTTGAGGGATGGGGCTTTCTGTGTTTGTCCTTTTCTGAAAGAGCACAATTTGATTACAGCTTTGCTGGGAGCATTTTTTTTTTTTGAACATTAAATTTTAAACCTAATCTGGGGAATGTTTTATCTGCAACAGTAACTTCTCTCCTGTTCATATTTCATTGAATACTAAGGTCACATGTAAAATAGTCCCACTTTGCTCTTGTAAATATGTGCATGTTTCCCATTCGACTTGGTTTTCAAACAAAACAACTAGGTAAGGTATTTTGGAAACCTCCTCCTCTCTTCTTTGTTTTGCCTTACTCTAAACTCAGAGCCTAATTCTTCACTGTAGCTCAAGAAGCATTCCTGTCTGTTGCATGTAATATTTAATTAAACTTTTTTTAAAAACTCCATTGCCAAAGTATGAATTGCTTCTCTGAAAGTCTTGCAGAATTTCTGTGCTATGTTGTTAAGTGCATGCATTTCTGTTGGTTTTTACACAAAGCTGTTTCAGTGAAAGGTAAGACGTGGAGTGACCAGGGCAAGGTCTTACTCACAGCACACTACTTCACCTAGTGAGGAACATTCCCAGGTATAAGACACTTCCAAGGTGTGGCAATAGCTACCTTAACTAAAAGTAGCTTTTCCTGGCATTAAACTTGAGCCATAATTCCTTGTACCAACTAAACTCTGCCTATACAAAGCTCACTTTGGTAATTGCAGAAGCTGTTTGTTACAAAAACTATGCATCTTACCTCTGCAATTTAATTAAACAAGTCAGTTACAAGTTGAACTAGTGAGTTTGCTGCTGCAGCTAGATGCTAACCACGGGATTTCACTTACATGCAATTTTTTTTTATTTAAAGCTGTGAAGAATAGTTTATAAAAATATACATAAAAGCAGGACCAGATATGGGGTGGGAGGAAACAAAATTATCTACAAAATTAAGTTCAGCAATGATAGACCCAATTATTACACAGCATTTCTGAAGGAGGAATGACAGCTTTAATGAGCAGCTCTCTTTTTTCTCCTCTTTTTGTTACATGCTTTCTTACTTGTATTTTCTTGCTTCGAGTTGGCCTGTGTTCTGTGAGCAAACAACATTTGTATCAAAGAAATGTACTGAATAGTTTTATTTCATAAGAACACAGGCTGATCATCCATAACAGGGCAACCATCCACTGTGCTCAGTGCAAAATTCAAAGTTAGCTTCTAGAAAGCATAACAGATACAACAACAAGGATTTCCAGGGCTGGTGTAGGGATGCAGCAATAAATCTTACTTCTTAGAGGTAAAGCTTAAGATTAAGGTGTAAAATTCTCTGCAACATCTCTAAGGAACAGCTTATTCACATCCACTTTTATGGTCTTGCTCCCTTTCAAATGATTAAGATTTAGTCAAATACCTATAACCTCTTCAGACAGCTGCAGGTCAGCCAGGATGACTGCCCTCCTAGGACAGGAGCAAACAAACTAACCTTGATTTAAACTTCCTCACTCCTGGCTCTGTAGTGTCTTGATCAACTGACACCTTTCTTGGCCTTGCCAAAATCCTGTGCCTTCTGAAAACACTTTACAACTTCCTTTCCCCTCTTCATCTCACAAGATGGTTACCTTGTTTTCTTTGGTAGTTCTTGGGGTTCCAGAATGATAACTTCTTCCTCTTCACTGTCAGACAGTACAATAGGTTCATCTAAAAAAAAAAAAACAAACAAAACACCAAGGAAACAAACAGACCCCAAAACAAACTCACAAACTGGTGATCAGTTTTGCACAAACTTTTTCTGTAACTAATAACCACAGTGTTTTTACAGAAACATTCAAAGTGGCAAGTGCTTAATTTGAATCCCTCCATATACTGCAGCAATCAAGGTTTCCAGGGGAAGTCAAAGTAGCAAATGGGTGTAACTCCCAAGTTCCACTTTCAAGTGGAAAATGGCTGATAGTTCTCCTTCCTTGCTAAGGACCTCTTCCACATTTTAATTCTAGACTCTTAATAAAGTGATGTTATAAGCATATCTAATAAATACTTACCCTCCTTAGTTTCCTTCATTGTACTTGTATCCTCAGTTTCCATTTTCTGACATTCAAAAGCAGTAACCTCACTTTCACCCTCCTCTTCCACTGCTTCCTCCCTCTCAGATTCTTCAAGGTCTCCCCAGGAGTCCTCTATTCCTTCCCCAATTTGGGCTGTCCCAGGAGTGTGCAATATTGGTTTTGCAAAACTGAAGTAGTTAAGAAAAATCATGGTGTTTGCAGGTAACTCTGTATTCTGAGAGCAAAACAGTTGGTTTTTAAGCTGGATCCTTTCTCCCCAGGGGAGAACATCCTTAAAGTACCTTCTTCTCAAGGTACTGGAACAATCAGTCACTTCAGACCTCAGTTTTGCTCTTTATACTAGCAATTAAGTTACCTAAAAGCAGTTAGGTCACCATGTCCTCTGCAGGCTCTAAGGCCACCTAAGCTGTGAGGAATGGTGGATGTGTGTTTAGCTTCTAGCAGTGGGGGGGAAGCCTGTTTTTTCCCCTGAATAATACAACAGAAAGGATACACTTCTGAAGGAGGGTCAGCTTTAGTGATGATTTCTTCTGCTTGTTCTTCCACATTGTTAGTATCAACAGCAGCGCTTTCCATTTTGAAGGAAGTGATCTTTTGATTCGGTATAGATTCTGCAAAGCCGAACTTCCCACCTTCTTTCCTAGTCGTTCAGTGACAGACATTATTTCAGGATGTTTCACACTTAAAAATGCTTTCTCTTTTCAAGTTCAAATATACAAATACTTGTTATTGAAAACAAATGCAAGAGAAAATTGCTATTCAAACTACAGATTGACGGTAATTTTTAGTATGTCTCTTAAAAATACCCATTTCCCTTCGTTCCCAAAATACTCACCTGACTTTCTGGTCATTCTCCAAGGCTTTCTGAATTACTTCTGTTATTTCGGTAACCTTAACAGCTGTTATTTTACTGCATCTCAGAACCTGTTTGTCATATATATACAACAACAGGTTACAATCACCAAAGCAAGATGTTCTTAAACTGCAGAACATCATAGGAGTTACAAACACTTAAAATAAAATATGGCATCTTAGTATGTGGGACTAGATAAACTCTGAGTTGATGCAACAGGTTAATACAACAGCCTCTAGCCATTCATGAGAGTGCGATGCAAGTTCATTTACAGACTCCATTAGCCAGATCCCAGGGGAAAAAAAAAGTGTGTCTGACCAATAAATGTTTCTTTTCTACATCTCTTCTTCAGCATGATGCACACTAGTATGCTTTTCTCCTAGAACTAAAAACACATAATCTTTTCCAGTTAAACCAGGTAATTGTTTTCTCAGTTTCCAGATCTTAAGGTCATTTCAATATCAAGATTACAGCACAGGAAGTAGTTTATATAAGAGAGAAAGACTGGTTAAGACAAAGATCTACCTGCTCCTTTACTAGCATAATCCCTCCACTGGACTGGATGGTACAAATTTCACGATGTTTGTTCATGGCAATTACAAGGAAGCCATCCATTACACGTTCCTCTCGTTCACTTGGATCCACCAATAAGTAGGTCCTAGAATCAAGTTTTTAAATATTAGACAACAGTAAAAGTTTGAGGCCTTACAATTAAATAAAGGAACTGGTTTACATATTAGTAATTATAGGCATCCTCCCCCCGAAAAGTTTTCTATGCCATCTGTGGAAAGCTGCTGGTTAGTCAGTTACACTGTGCAGAACACCCAAGTATCTCCCATGGCATCTCACTTCAGATAAAATGTTTCAAGAAATCTGCTTGTCATCACAAATATCTTTAGGACTCTTCTGTGTTTAAAATCACTTCTGCAGAATTGTCAATAAGCTATTTCTGTCAAAAGACTTGAAAATCTTACCCTTGCTGGAAGAAGGCAAAACTGACACAAATAGGCATGTGGTGGATACTCAAGGGGACAGGATCACGTTCCTCAGGAGCATACTTTGAAGAGAATTGGCCCAGAAGACAATTATTTACGAAACACATTTAATTTTAAAATGATGGACTGCAGAAAGATATTTAAAGAAATAAAAAGCAAAGAAAATAAGGCTAAGAAATGTTTAGTAATCTAAATATTAACAAATTTATTTTTACTCTTCTTATACAATTTTTTCTGTTTACTACCTACATAGGTAAATACAGCACCTTCATCAACCCTGTGCTTGATTGGATAGAAATATTGTAAAATACTTACCTTTTACAATTAATATTCCCATAAAGTGAGGTTGATAAAATTCTGTATTCAGCAGCCTTTCTTACTATCCTTTCACATTTTGAACAGCAACACATTTATTCTAGAACTCTGAGTATCTTGGAGTTTACTTGCTTACATAAACATTTAATTCCCCCTTTTAAACACAAAAAAAGTTACCTGCGATGCCACAGCATTTACTATGATCTGGTACAACTTACCACAGTTACTTCCTCTCCTTGCACAGATACATCTGGTCTGCGAAAATGACACAGAGCTACAATTCCTGCGATGCTAGCAGCATCAATCATGTTACCATCATGATTTAACACGTGCAGGTCCAGACGAATTTGCCAAACCTGAGAAAAAGCATACATAGCCGCTTGGCAATTTGTACCATGGTTCTATAAAAGTTGTTGCTTTTCAAAATAATTCTATTGTTTTAATCATAAAAAGAACCAGCATATATTCTTCAGGTCTTTGCTTAAGAAATTAAGATGAAAGATCCGGGTATATTCCAAGATAGCCAGTGTGCTAGATTTAAGCCCTGGTTAATTACGACAAAATACACAAAACTTAAGTACAACTTAAAACTTTATTCTGCAAAGAAATATTAAAGTGTGCATGATTTCAACTACTTCAAAAAGCCAAGGCAGATATGCAAGTTAAAAATACCTGTAAAGTCAGATGTGTGGATCCTTACATTAACCTAAAATAGAAATTTCTAGGTTCCAAAGCAAAGTGGAGGTGACCTTAAAAACAGACTAGATGTACCCGTTAGTTTAAAACCACTTGAAATTAGTAGGTTTTCATACCTTTTCACCAGCAACAACACAGAGAGATTCAGTATCTATACATTCCGAATTTCTCAGGCATCGTTCTATGAGGCTGTTCAGTTCCACCAGTAACTCGGATTGCCTGTCAAAACAAAACTAACCCAACTTGAATATGATCACCGCTATATACTTACATGTATCAAATCCGTGTCTCTTATGTCATTCTTGTTTAATCTTTTTAAGAAAGCTACATACCTGCCAGGCTCAAAACCAGGTGCAGCCATTGGTGAGAGCTCAACATTAAAGAAGAGTATACCTTCTGTAGGCCGGTTTGGCCTGGGGGGAACAAGTTCACACGAGACTTGCCCAAGAACCCTGCAACGGTAAATAAACCACTGAGTTGTAGAATTTAGCAGGAAAATGCCCCTACCACTAGAAACAAAATACATACTTTGAAAAGACACGCGTTCAGGTTTTTGTTTGTATTTCTTACTCCTGACAGTTCCGCATTCAATGCCAGTCAAAGGTATTTAAACACTGGTCAACAACTGAGAGAATCAATAGAAATTGGAACATGCTTCTGTCTTTTAGGCTTAAAAATAGACTCCAATACCTGAGAAACTGTAACTAAACATTTATCTAAGTGCATACACTCCACTTTTCTGCATACAAAATAAGGATGTCTGATTCCTGGAAGACAGCAAAACCTCTGCATTCAAAAAATTAGAACAGTGAATAGAAGGATGAAAAATTAAAATAATTGTGTATTTTATAAATTCCCTGTAATCTACAGCCAGCACAGAGACCCCATCCCTTCCCTTTCCACTCCTCTATGCTCCTATTCTTGAAATCCTCCGACCTGTAGATGCAGTCCTTTAAACCTATTTACCGTGATTTCAGCGGGCTCTGCTTCCACAGGTTTGGAGCCGTAACGGTCG